CAATAGAAAAAGTCCTAACCTATTTACTAGGTGATTAAGAGGGAACTAGTCCTTGGCCCAAGTATCATGAATAGGGCAGGTGTAGTGGGCTTCCAAGGTCCAGGTGACCCAGTAGGACTTGGTACCCAAAGTCTATACTAGTGATTTCCAAACCTGACCGATGAACAAAAGCCACAGCAAAATGATTGGCAGAGTTCCTTTCCAAGAAATTTTTAATCATTAACTCTGGTGGGCTGGAGGATAGGCAGGAATTGGTATTTTTCCAAAGTATCCACCCATATCATTTATTTATTGCTGTACCCCAAAGCTTAGTGGCTTAAAATAATCGTTTTATTTGCTCAGAATTCTCAAATGACGGTTGATTTGGGGTGGATCCAGCCAAGTGGTTCTTTGGCCGGCTTTGCTTTGGGTTCTCATGTGACTGCTGTCATCTGGCAGCTCAACTCTGCAGGGTGACCTCTTGCTTGTTGGCTGAGGACTCCAGAAATCTAGCTCAGACTTGTCCACATGGTGGCAGCATCTAGAAGTACAAGAGTAGAAGCCGTAAAGTTGCCTGAGGCCTAAACTCCTAAATCACACAAGACCAAGCCAGTCCCGTGTTATTCGTCCAAGCAAGTCACACAACTAGTCAGATTCAACAAGTAGGGATATAGTTTCCACCACTTCCTGGGACCAGCTGCAAAGAGTATGTGGTCATGTATATTCCATCACAGTACCCAAAGTTCCTAAGTCTTAATGTAACAAATTACCACAAATTCAGTGACTTAAAACAACACAAGTTAATTGCCTTACAGTTCTGGAGGTCAAAATCTAAAATTAAGGTGTTGGTAGGGCTGTGTTCCTTCTAAAGTTTCTAGAGGGAAATTTATTTCTTTGCCCTTTCCAGCTTCAAGAGACCACCTTCATTCCTTGACTTGTGACCCAGCCTCCATCTTTAAGACCAACAACAGCATCTTCACATCACTCTCTCTCTCTCTGACCTCTGCTTCTCATGTCACATTTTCCCCTCTAACCCTCCTGCTTTCCCCTTCCATCTTATAAGGACGCTTGTGACGACATCAGGCCCATCTGGATGACCCATCAAGATCTTTGATTTCATCACATCTGCAAAATCCCCTTTTGCCAAGTAAAGTGACATATCCACAGATTCTTGGAATCAGGATGTGAACTGTTTGCCACATTTTAGAATCTTTGATCAAGGAAAATTATGTCACAGAATTTAAAGGGTCCAGTGGTCTAGTCTGGGCCAGACTGTGAGACTCAGGGAAAATAGGCAGTCAAGGTTTTTAAGTCAAATAGACCAGGGTTTGAATATCCTTCAATATTTACTAGCTGGGTGACATAAAGCAAGTTATTAATCTCTAAGACTGTTTTCTGAAGTTTAGAATGGAGATGATACCTATCACAGGACTACTGCAAGCTTTAAATGAGTAAATATATTAAAGAATTTCAGATGGTGCTTGGACCCATGATAAATACTTAGCAAATGTAATGATGATTAGAAAGAGTCCTGGGACCGGGCTCGGTGACTCAGCCTGTAATCCCAGAACTTTGGGAGGGTGAGGTGAGTGGATTGCCTGAGTCCGTGGGCTCGAGACCCACCTGGGCAACTTGGCAAGACCTCGTCTCTACAATAAATCAAAATATTAGCTGGGCGTGGTAGCGCTCACCTGTAGTTCCAGCTACTTGGAAGGCTGAGGTGGAAAGATCACTGGAGCCCAGCGGGTCAAGGCTGCAGTGGCCAGGAGCCTGCCACTGAACTCCAGTCTGGGCGACAGAGTGAGACTCGAACTCAAAAAAAAAAATGGAGTTCTGGTTAGGTTTTAAGACTTCAGAAAAAAATGTAATTTCATATGGCAGGGTCTGTGGATGGAACTTGTCATGCTGACTCAGGGGAAGCAAGCAAAAAGAGGTGACAGAAATTTGAGGAAAAGAAAAATATTTCTGGGGCTTGAGAGACCAACTTTCAGGGCTTAGGAGACACAGAACTAAGTGTCTATAGTACTGGAAAAGGTAATACTGTGTCAGGCATTCTGGATAGGGCTTTTCTTTTGTTGTTTTCAAGATTCAGAAGTATTTTTTATTTTTGTTTGTTTTGCTTTTTGTTTTTAAGAGGTGGGGTCTTACTCTGTCACCCAGGCTGGAATACAGTGATATAATCACAGCTCACCGCAGCCTTGAAATCCTTGACTCAAGCAATCTTCTCCCCTCAGCCTTTCAAGTAGCTAGGGCCAGGTACATGCCACCATACTCTGCTAATTTTTTATGATCTTTTATTTTTTTATTTTAAGAGATGAGATCTCACTATATTGCCCAGACTGGTCTTGAATTCCTGGCCTCGAGTGATCTTCCTGCCTTGGCTTCTCAAAGTGCTGGGATTACAGGTATGTGTCACTGCAACTGGCCAAGATTTAGAAGTATTAATGGGTCATTTTTCAAATCTCAGGAGAGAGGTGCCTGAGGCTCAAATGAGAGACAATTTTCTGATACTCCAGAAAACTAAGACATGGTTTAGTGTTTCAGTGAGCTAGATTTCTATGTTTCTGAAAAAATAGCAAGTTCTTGTTTCAAGATCACAGGTGAATTTGAGGTCATTATAGCTTGGGGAAAAGAGAGTTTTACAGTTTCCCTCCAAATGATCTTTCTAAAAATGCATTTCAGTTTTATGATGTATGTATCATAGTACCCATCATGGCATATTTTTCTATAAAGAAATTTGTACCAAGAGACAATTTCAAGCTTGTCATAAGCCACCAACAGCTGTTTCATCACAATATTCCAGGTAAATGCAGCCATAGGGGACTTTTTCTTAATCTGTGCATTTGAAACTGCTGTGATCACATTCTGAATGTTCTAGTGTTTTTTTAAGAAAAAAAGTGGGTTTTTTTGTTTCCTTATTTTGTTTTTGTATTAGAACTGGCAGGTCCCTTATTTTGCAGTTGTCTTAGAACTGATTTCAAAGGACAGACAGGCATGTTATATGACCGCTGCTAATCCATGGTGGGCAAATCTGGTTTTAACTACATATAGAAAGATAGCGGTGATTTTGAACTACTCTTATATGAGGAGAAGAAAGGGCACGGATGGTGTGGAGGCTGCTTAGGAGCTGGAGGGCACAGGGCAGCTACTTAGTGGGGGTGTGGAGGCTTCTGCTAGATCCTGTATTGAACTTTAACCCAGACATACTGTTATGAAACAGGGGCTCTTTGAAGAAACATTGGGTCACTAAGGCCAGAGATTTGTGAAACATCAGCACCTTCAAGGTGATTTTGAAACACAAGCATCTTCAGCTCCCTTGACCATGGGAACAACAGGGAAAAGACAAAGGGGGCCTCTGTATTTCCCACCTTACGGGCAAGAAACGGAGCAGAAATGGTTCAACTTGGCTCTGGAAGATGTGTCTTCAACACAGACCGAGGATGCAATCCTCTCAAGAGTCGTGATTCAGAATGAGGTAAGAAAACATGTGAGGGCAAGTCCCATTCAAATGTTTAGGGCAGTAAAGTGGGCTGTGGTGTCCACATAAGAACAGGGATTATTTAATAGAATTTTGCAATCATAGAGCTGGAAGGAACTTCAGCAACAATCTAGTCCGAACTTTTTGTTGCCATGGAACTCTTTCTTCAAGCAAAAGCTTCATAAGAGCCCAAATACAAACACCTATGAAGGCAGTATTGTTCTGGTTGCAGGGTGGGGGGAGGGACAGGCAAGAAGAAAACGTTTATTTATAAAATTCGAAAATTTAAAAAATCACCATGGAAGAAAATCTTTTCATTTATATCATAGAGAGGCTTAAACAACATTAATCACAAATAAAAGAGTTCCCCAAAGAGACAGATTCTTAATGTATATAGTTTTAGCTCTTTAGGGTCATTTTTACTTGGAAGTATGAGAACAGGGAATACGACTTTTAGTTGCATAGAAATAAGTCTTGGATGAAAATTTCAAGTTTTATAGGACTGTGTGCTATGCTGACTTGGGACTATGATGAGTCCCCAAGTTCCACCAGGTGGCGCCCTAGTTCGTCATTTTGAGAAGTTTTGGTTCTCTTCTGGAGGTTCCAGCCAGCCTCGTGCTTCGCAGGTTTAATAAATCCAATGGGATGTCACACTCAAGAAAACAACTCTCGTGTTCGTGTGTTTTAACCTCCTTGCTCCTCACTTTTGTTCCAGCTATCGAAATCTGCTTAACATTGGTATCACTGAGATGTCTTAACTTTTCAGAAAAGAAAACAAACAAACAAACATATTCTCAGGAAAAAGAAAGGAAGGGCCTTCCAAGGGACCCGGTGCTGTTGAAGAAAGCCTGGACATTTGCAACTTCCAGTTGAGGCTTCGCCACTTGAGCATAAGGAAGCATGTTTCCTCTGGATTCAGTTTATTCATCCATAAAGTGGCTCTTTGAGCTCTACCATCTGTGGCACGCTGTTGCAGGGCCGTCAGCCAAACCTCAGTTTCAATTCTGGATCCTAGCTAAGTCTGTAAAAAATGGATGTCACCTGGTATGGTTGTGAGAGAAAATAATGTTGATAAGTGCAAGTACAGCGTCAATGAATGGGCTTATCATCACTCTCCAGAGAGCCGCCCCCGTACTGGAAAACTCTAAAACAATACATATATGTTTTCATTCGTTTTAAATTCATATCGAAGCGCAACGGAAGGTTTTGGAGCTCAGGCTGCAACGTGCTACTTAAGGGACACTGGGCAGCTGAGACAGAAATCGCGTGCTGTTACTTTCACCCACCCTCCGCCAGAGCCTTTCTCCCCGCCCCCAGGTCGCCGCCCGCCAATCCGGACAGCGGAGGCCGCGGGCTCCTCACTTCCAACCTCCCGCGCCTGCTCCAGGGGCCGCGCGGAATACCGCGCCGTGGGGCCTGGCCCCTGACCCCGCCCCTGTGCGTCACCGCGTAGTTGCGCAGAGGCGTGTCCCGGGGCGTGCCGCGGTTGCTAGGCAACCAGGCCGCTCGCTCCCCCTCCCGCCCCTGCAGCTGCGTCTCCTCCTCCCCGTCTGGGCCAGTCTGGAGCGAAGGCGCGCGGAGCTGCAGCGTCTGGCCGGGAGTCCCCGGGGAAGCGTCGCGCCCTGGAGGCAGCAATCTCAGCGCAGGTGGACGTGGCACGCCGGACCCTCTGGACTCTCCAACCGCCGCCCCTCCCCCGCGGGGGTCCCGAGCTAGCAGATGGGAGGCACAGCTCGCGGGCCTGGGCGGAAGGATGCGGGGCCGTCGGGGGCCGGACTCCCGCCCCAGCAGCGGAGGTAACGGCGCCGCGGGGTAGCGGGCTAGGGACGCCCGAGTGAGAGGCTGGAGCTGGCCGGCGAAGCCGGGGGGCGGGGAAGGCCTAGGCTGGAAGTTGAGCGAGCCCTCGGCAGGAGGGACGAAGGCAGGGGTCTTACTACTTTCCCGGACCGGCCCCCCCCCGTCCATCTACCTCCCCCCGGAGCCGACCGTGAACGGGGGCGGGGGCTTGAGCGGAGTTAGAGGAAGAATTTCCACCCCTGGATTATCTCTGAAATCCTAGATCGGGGGTATATGGTAAGGGACTCCGAAAACCTGTGACTTTTTATGGGGCCTTTTCGCAAACTGGGAAAGCCAAGGAAGCAATGCCTTTGAAATAAACCCTGTTGCTTAGAGCAGATAATCGAGAGCTGAACTCGTGGGGCTTTGCTGTGGGGTGCGGTCTGGCTTTGGTCGTGCAAATTATTTGCTGTGCCGGGTAGGGCTTTTTCCGGATCCTATTTTGAGGGATTCCCCACCTCGCATCGTATTTTACAACTAAATAGAGAAAACAGATCCCCTTTCCCTGCTTTATTTGCATGAGGACTTCTTGTTGTTAATGTCCTGTGGCTGTTAGTCAGGAAATCTTGCAGGTTTTCTGTGTCTGTATTTCTCCGTAAACGCGGAAGCCTGTCCCCGTATGTTTTATCAGGTTTATGGCAAAGGGTCCGTCGCATGCAGAATATTTGGTTTCTAGTCGGTGAAGGGGTTCCCGACCAGAAATAATTCTATCGGAACGTAAGCATGGTTTTACAAAGAGAACATCTTAAAAGATATTTATAGTGGTTTTGTTTTCACTCTTTGTATTCTTATGACAAATAAATCAAGAAAACTCTAGAACTCATTTCACAAAACAGTTTTTAAAGGCGACTCAGATATTCCAGGGTATTTTAAAAGACGTTAAAAAATTATTCCCCTGCAACATGGTCATTGTTGTATTCATGGTGTATCATGTAAAATGATACAGTGAAATGCTGATGTGAGTAGCTGGGAAATCCTTGTTCTTGGTAGTAGATGAAATGCATTATTCAAGGCCATCTTGTGGATTAAATAAATCCTCTCCTTTTGTGCTTGCAATGGTGGAGCCACAGTGTTAAAGAACAGAGAAATGAAACCGGGCTCGGTGGCTCAGCCTGTAATCCCAGCGCTTTGGGAGGCTGGTGAGTGGATTGCCTGAGCCCGCGGGTTCGAGACCCGCCTGGGCAACTTGGCGAGACCTCATCTCTACAATCT